GGAATTCGGGGTCACGGGGGGGAATCGGGATCAGGGGGGGAAATTCGGGATCCTGGAGGTGAGTCTGGGATCCCGGGGCTGGATTTGGGATCATGGGAGCGAATTCGGGATCCCGGGGGGGGATTTAAGGATCCCAGGGCCGGATTCGGGATCCTGGGCCTGGATTTGGGATCATGGGGATGAATTTGGGATCCTGGGGCCGGATTCGGGATTCTGGGCTTGGATTCGGGATCGTGGGAATGACCTGGAAATCCCGGAGCTGCATTTGGGATCATGGGGGGGAATTTGGGATCCTGGGATTGGATTCAGGATCCCGGGGGCGGATTCGGGATCCTGGGGGCAGATTTGGGATCCTGGGGGTGAATTTGGGAACATGGGGATTAATTTGGGATCCCGGGAATGAGCTGGAAATCCCGGAGCTGCATTTGGGATCATGGGGATGAATTTGGGATTTGGGGGATGAATTCGGGATCCTGGGGGCGGATTTGGGATCCTGGGAATGAATTTGGGATCCCAGGTTTGGATTCAGGATCCTGGGAATGACCTGGGAATCCCGGAGCTGCATTTGGGATCATGGGGGGGAATTCGGGATCCTGGGGATGTATTTGGGATCCCAGGGATGAATTTGGGATCGTGGGGCTGGATTCAGGATTCTGGGTTTGGATTCGGGATCGTGGGAATGACCTGGGAATCCCGGAGCTGCATTTGGGATCCTGGGGGTGAATTTGGGAACACGGGGATTAATTTGGGATCCTGGGAATGAGCTGGAAATCCCGGAGCTGCATTTGGGATCATGGGGTTGAATTGGGGATCCTGGGACTGGATTTGGGATCATGGGGATCAATTTGGGATCCTGGGGTTGGATTTGGGATTCTGCGGGTGGATTTGGGATCCAAGGGGTGAATTTGGGATCATGGGGGTGGATTCGGGATTCTGGGAATGAACCGGAAATCCTGGAGCTGCGTTTGGGATTATGGGGCTGGATTTGGGATCATGGGGGTGAATTTGGGATCCTGGGATTGGATTCAGGATCCTGGGGGTGAATTCAGGATCATGGGAATGACCTGGAAATCCCAGAGCTGCATGGGGGAATTCGGGATCATGGGGCTGGATTTGGGAACCTGGGAATGAATTTGGGATCCTGGGATTGGATTCAGGATCCCGGGGGCGGATTCGGGATCCCGGGCCTGGATTTGGGATCATGGGGCTGGATTTGGGATCCCGGGGCTGGATCCAGGATCCCAGGAATGACCTGGGAATCCCAGGGATGAATTTGGGATCCTGGGGGTGGATTCAGGATTCTGGGTTTGGATTCGGGATCCCGGCAATGAACTGGAAATCCCGGAGCTGCATTTGGGATCGCGGGCCTGGATTTGGGATCCCTGGGATTGGATTCAGGATCCTGGGGGAGAATTCGGGATCCTGGGTTTGGATTCGGGATCCCGGGAATGCCCTGGCAATCCCGGAGCTGCATTCGGGATCATGGGGATGAATGGGACATTTGGGGACGTTTGGGGACATCCAGGATGTTGGGGGCATTTGGGGACATTTGGGGACGTTTGGGGACATTTGGGGACGTTTGGGGACATCGAGGACGTCGAGGACATTGAAGATGTCCAGGACATTGGAGACGTCCAGGACGTTGGGGACATTTGGGGACGTTTGGGGACATCCAGGATGTTGGGGGCATTTGGGGACATTTGGGGACGTTTGGGGACATTTGGGGACGTTTGGGGACATCGAGGACGTCGAGGACATTGAAGATGTCCAGGACATTGGAGACGTCCAGGACGTTGGGGACATTTGGGGACGTTTGGGGACATCCAGGATGTTGGGGGCATTTGGGGACATTTGGGGACGTTTGGGGACATTTGGGGACGTTTGGGGACATCGAGGACGTCGAGGACATTGAAGATGTCCAGGACATTGGAGACGTCCAGGACGTTGGGGACATTTGGGGACGTTTGGGGACATCCAGGATGTTGGGGGCATTTGGGGACATTTGGGGACGTTTGGGGACATTTGGGGACGTTTGGGGACATCGAGGACGTCGAGGACATTGAAGATGTCCAGGACATTGGAGACGTCCAGGACGTTGGGGACATTTGGGGACGTTTGGGGACATCCAGGATGTTGGGGGCATTTGGGGACATTTGGGGACGTTTGGGGACATTTGGGGACGTTTGGGGACATCGAGGACGTCGAGGACATTGAAGATGTCCAGGACATTGGAGACGTCCAGGACGTTGGGGACATTTGGGGACGTTTGGGGACATCCAGGATGTTGGGGGCATTTGGGGACATTTGGGGACGTTTGGGGACATTTGGGGACGTTTGGGGACATCGAGGACGTCGAGGACATTGAAGATGTCCAGGACATTGGAGACGTCCAGGACGTTGGGGACATTTGGGGACGTTTGGGGACATCCAGGATGTTGGGGGCATTTGGGGACATTTGGGGACGTTTGGGGACATTTGGGGACGTTTGGGGACATCGAGGACGTCGAGGACATTGAAGATGTCCAGGACATTGGAGACGTCCAGGACGTTGGGGACATTTGGGGACGTTTGGGGACATCCAGGATGTTGGGGGCATTTGGGGACATTTGGGGACGTTTGGGGACATTGAGAATATTGGAGGCTTCGAGGATGTTGGGGACATTGAGGATGTTGGGGACGTTTGGGGACATCAGGGACGTCGGGGGCATCGGGGACATTTGGGGACATTTGGGGACGATGGGGACATTTGGGGCGTCGAGGACGTTGGGGACATTTGGGGACAATGGGGACATTGAGGACCTTTGAGGGCGTTTGGGGACATCAGTGGCATCAAGGGTATTGGGGACATTGAAAATATTGGGGACATCAGGGGCGTTTGGGGACAATGGGAACATTGGGGATGTTGGGGACGTCGGGGACATTTGGGGACATCAGGGGAGGCTCCCATGGTGTCCCAGGACACTTGGGGACATTGGGGACACTT